ATATGAAAGAGGTGAATTACGGTTGGACAGACATGTAGCGCAAATGCCAAGTTTTGTTTATATTTTGTTGCGTTCACAACGTGTACATTTGGCTCCATCCTTAAGGGGTTAACAGCAAGAATAGAGGACTAAATGTTGATTTGGGCTTCCTGTCCCACTACCAGCACTTTACATCAACACTCCCCAGCATTATCTTACTCTTCTGTCATATTTATCAACATTTTAAATGCATTCCAATATGTTTATTCTACCAATATACAAGTATATGTTTTTGTGTGTATGTATATGTATATGTCTTCATGTATTTGTGTGTGTGTGTGTGTATGTATAAAGTGCATATCTACATGCATGCATGTATGTATAGGTGAATGGGTATATACAAATACATATATATGGGTCTGTGTATGTGCAGGCACATTGGTATATGTTTAGGTACATGTATTGGTGCTTGTGGGTGGATGGATGTGTAGGTGTCTATGTACATATATTTGGGCATTTGGTTGTATTTATATGTATGTTGCAAGTACTTGTGTATAGTGTGTTTGTTCTTGTGTATACTTGTATGTATGCACTTCGTGTGTATAGGAATATGTACATGAGTGTGAGTGTGTTCGTGTGTCTGTTAATGCTGGATATAGGCCTTCATGCATATCTTGTAACTCTCGGATGGGAATTCATGCATTCTTTATATCAATACTCCCCCTTCTAGCACCATCTTCTGCACTGTTCGCTTGTTTTAACACTCAGAATGACAGGCGGATGTGTATTAGGGACTTTAACTTGTGGCTTGGTGAATGGTGTCAGGAGCAAGGATTTGTCTTTTTTACTCATGGTAGCTCTGTTTGGAATGGAAATAAACTGTACAAAAAAGATGGTTTGCATCTTTCTCAAAAGGGAAAAAAAATGTTCTCAGTTAGAAGTTCAGAGGTTTTGCTAGGATGTATTTAAACTAGGGGTAGGGGGAGAAAGGGTGATAAAACGTCAATCCAATTGTCCCCCAAAACAAGGACAGAAGGTGCCTGTAGCAAGCGTGTTAAAAAAAAATTATAAGCTTAGAGTCATGTCTGCAAATGCTTGCAGTTTAGGGAATAAGATCCATGAACTTGTGGCAATAATGGCAACTGATAATGTAGATTTAGTCGCTGTTATTAAGACATGGTATAATGAGAAAAATGACTGGGATATAGCAATACCAGGGTACTCTTTATATAGAAAAGACAGGGAAGGCAAGAAAGGGGGATAGCATAAAATCTAGCCTAATAAAAGTTAGTGAGGCGAACATAGAGTCCGTTTGGGTTACGTTAGAATTTGGTAATCACACAGTAACTCATGTAGCTGCGATTTATAGACCCCCAGGACAAATAGAGGAGTTAGATCATCTACTAGTTGAGGAAATAGCTAAAATGACAACGAAGGGCGAAGTTATCATCATGGGTGACTTTAATCTTCCTGATGTGTGTTGGAAAACCAAAATAGCTACTTGTGCCAGGAGCACACATATTCTAAACTCCCTACTGGGATTGTCCCTCAACTCATAAAGAGGCCATACTAGATTTAGTGTTAACAAATGGAGATTACTGTAGGTGAAAGTTTAGGATCCAGTGAGTCCAGGATCAGTCAGTGTGGTTTAATATAAGAACAGTGACTGAGTCACACCACATAACACAAAAGGTTTAGACTTTAGAAAAACAGACTTTTCTAAAATTAGAGTCATTCATTATCAGACTGGAGCAATTTAAATGGAGTCCAAGAGAAATGGGATTATTTAAAAGTTGCACTGCTGAAGGCAAAAGTAAATTGCATTAGGCTTGTCAGTAAAAGCAAAATATTCAAGAAACCACTGTGGTACTCTGCAGATGTGGCCAAAATAGTAAAAAACTAAAAGTGAGTGAGTGAGGAAGACAGAATGATCTTTAAGATTAGGCAGAAGGAGGCTAATCAAGTTACAAGAGCTTTTAAGTCACACACAGAAGAGAAAATAGCACAGTCAGTAAAAAAGGGGACTAAACATTTTTTAGATACATAAATGAGAAAAGGAAAGTAAAACAAGGATTAGTTAGATTGAAAACAAAAGAAGGAAGGTATGTAGAAGAGGATAAAGGTCTAGCTGACTGCCTCAACGAATATTTTTGTTCGGTATTTACAGATGAAAATGAAGGAAAGAGGCCTCAGTTAGGAAAAAGGACAAATGAGTCATTTATTAAATGTGAGTTTACAGAGGAAGAGGTTCTATTTCAACTGTCAAAAGTAAAGACAAATTAGTCAATGCGACCTAATGGAATACACCCAAAGTTATTAAAAGAGCTTAGTGGTGTACTAGCAAAACCATTAACAGATTTGTTTAACCAATCATTGTTAACAGGAGTAGTCCTAGAAGATTGAAAGTTAGCAAATGTTGTGCCCATTCACAAGAAAAGTAGTAGGGAGGAGTCAGTCAACTATAGGCCAGTAAGCCTTACTGGCGTAGTGGGGAAAGTAATGGAAACCATGTTAAAGGATAGGATTGTTGAACATCTGAAATCACATGGATTTCAAGATCAGAGACAACATGGGTTTACTTCAGGGAGATCATGCCAAAACTAATCTTATTGATTTTTTTTTGATTGGGTAACTAAAATAATAGATCAGGGTGGCGCAGAAGACATTGCTTACCTAGATTTCAGTAAGGCTTTTGACACTGTTGCTCATAGAAGGCTTATCAATAAACTGCAATCTTTAAGTTTGGATTCCAGTATTGTTGAATGGGTAAGGCAGTGGCTGAATGACAGGCAACAGAGGGTTGTAGTCAATGGAGTATATCCAAAGCACGGGCTTGTCACCAGTTGGGTACTTCAGGGATCTGTACTTGGACCCATTCTCTTTAATGTTTTTATTAGTGATATTGCAGAAGGTCTTGATGGTAAGGTAAATATTTTTGCTGATCATACTAAGATATGTAACAGGGTTGATGTTCCAGGAGGGATAAGCCAAATGGCAAATGATTTAGGTAAACTAGAAAAATGGTCAGAGTTGTGGCAACTGACATTTAATGTGGATAAGTGCAAGATAATGCATCTTGGACGTAAAAACCCAAGGGCAGAGTACAGAATATTTGATAGAGTCCTAACCTCAACATCTGAGGAAAGGGATTTAGGGGTGATTATTTCTGATGACTTAAAGGTAGGCAGACAATGTAATAGAGCAGCAGGAAATGCTAGCAGAATGCTTGGTTGTATAGGGAGAGGTTTTAGCAGTATAAAGAGGGAAGTGTTCATGCCATTGTACAGAACACTGGAGACCTCACTTGGAGTATTGGAGACCGTATCTCCAGAAGGATATTGATACTTTAGCGAGAGTTCAGAGAAGGGCTATTAAATTGGTTCATGGATTGCAGGATAAAACATACAAGGAAAGGTTAATGGATCTTAACATGTATAGCTTGGAGGAAAGATGAGACGGGGGGATATTTTAGAAACATTTAAATACATAAAGGGAATCAACACAGTAAAGGAGGAGACTATATTTAAAAGAAGAAAAACTACCACAACAAGAGGACATAAATCTTAAACTAGAGGGGCAAAGGTTTAAAAATAATATCAGGAAGTATTACTTTACCGAGAGGGTAGTGGATGCATGGAATAGTCTTCCAGCTGAAGTGGTAGAGGCTAAGACAGTAAAGGAGTTTAAAGGACCACTCTAGGCACCCAGACCACTTCAGCTTAATGAAGTGGTCTGGGTTCCAGGTCCATCTAGGGTTAACCCATTTTTTCATAAACATAGCAGTTTCAGAGAAACTGCTATGTTTATGAATGGGTTAAGCCTTCCCCTATTTCCTCTAGTGGCTGTCTCATTGACAGCCACTAGAGGCGCTTGCGTGCTTCTCACTGTGATTTTCAGCGTCCATGCTTTCCTATGTGACCGGCTGAATGCGCGCGCAGCTCTTGCCGCGCGTGCGAATTCAGCCGACGGGGAGGAGAAGAGGAGGATCGGAGGAGGAGAGCTCCCTGCCCAGCGCTGGAAAAAGGTAAGATTTACCCCCTTTCCCCCTTCCAGAGCCGGGCGGGAGGGGGACCCTGAGGGTGGGGGCACCCCCAGGGCACTATAGTGCCAGGAAAACGAGTATGTTTTCCTGGCACTATAGTGGTCCTTTAAGCATGTGTGGGATAGGCATAAGACTATCCTAACCATAAGATAAGGCCAGGGGCTAATGAAAGTATTTAGAAAATTGGGCAGACTAGATGGGCCGAATGGTTCTTATTTGCCGTCACATTCTATGTTTCTATGTTTATTTCCCACTATCCCCCCTCACTCCGTGATCTTCGCATATGATATTTACGACCCTCCCTGCAAGAATGGTGTCTATGTTCTATCAAACCTGTCTTATCTGCACTCATGTCGCTTTATCCTCTGTATCACAACCCAACTTTGAATTCCATGTGTCGATTTGCTGATGATGATTGTCATTAAAACATTCTGTTAGTCTAATAAAAATGTTATTACAAGATACGATTTTTATCTGTTTTTTTCATCTACATCACTGGACTAATACGGCTACAATCTCTACTTGAGATATATATATATATATATATATATATATATATATATATATATAGCATATATTGGATAATTGTATGTTTTATATATATATATATATATATAGATGTGTGTATATATATATATATATATATATACATACATACACACACACATATATATATATATTTATATTTTGCTCAATGCACTTCCAGGGCAGCTAATGTGCAATGCCCTGCTAAAGATTTCTTGCATGGGAAAAAGGTCCTGTGTAATGCACAGCACTGTGCTTACTTGTGACCTGTCTCTGTTGTCAACATAAGTGGAATACCAGATGACTAACAAGGCAGGAGAAAGTACTGTGCATGCATTTGGTGGATGTTTGTGGTTATGCGTGTGTGTAGTGAGCAGTTTTTGGTGTGGTGTTCTGTGTAAATAGATTGGTCAGTTGTGTTGTGTTTGTGGTGTAATATGATGGGCTAGGGGCTGTAGGGTACTGCCTGGTGGGAGCTAGGAAATGACCTGGAAGCATCTTTGGGGTTAAACTGTTCAGAAACGGTTTAAACCCTGAAGGTAACATTTCTGCAGGAGGACTCCTAGCACAATAAGGCATCATAACTTAATTTAGATTAAGTTTTTATTATGCCTATACTGTCCCTTTAATAAATTATGGTTTATGTTAGTCCAATTAAAAGGTATTGTATTTAGGGGTGATTATTTCTGATGACTTAAAGGTAGGCAGACAATGTAATAGAGCAGCAGGAAATGCTAGCAGAATGCTTGGTTGTATAGGGAGAGGTATTAGCAGTAGAAAGAGGGAAGTGCTCATGCCATTGTACAGAACACTGGTGAGACCTCACTTGGAGTATTGTACACAGTACTGGAGACCGTATCTTCAGAAGGATATTGATACCTTAGAGAGGGTTCAGAGAAGGGCTACTAAACTGGTTCATGGATTGCGGGATAAAACTTACCAGGAAAGGTTAAAGGATCTTAACATGTATAGCTTGGAGGAAAGACGAGACAGGGGGGATATGATAGAAACATTTAAATATATAAAGGGAATCAACACAGTAAAGGAGGAGACTATATTTAAAAGAAGAAAAACTACCACAACAAGAGGACATAGTCTTAAATTAGAGGGACAAAGGTTTAAAAATAATATCAGGAAGTATTACTTTACTGAGAGGGTAGTGGATGCATGGAATAGCCTTCCAGCTGAAGTGGTAAAGGTTAACACAGTAAAGGAGTTTAAGCATGCATGGGATAGGCATAAGGCTATCCTATCTATAAGATAAGGCTAGGGACTAATGAAAGTATTTAGAAAATTGGGCAGACTAGATGGGCCGAATGGTTCTTATCTGCCGTCACATTCTATGTTTCTATGTTTCTATGTATACTCTGGTTACTTTCTTCTGGACTAATACAATCTACTTCATTTATTAATTTTCATCTTTTTTATAAAATCTGACATGCTTGTGTACTAGTTTCCTTGCCTAAAAATAATTGGTTATTTTTAATAGCATTTTGATAAAACTTAAATTGGAAGTGACTTTGAAAGTTACTTTCTGATCTATGACTGTTGTACCCCGCATATAAATAATTAACAACCAACAAACAGCCGCTGTGGAGACTGCAGCGAGTCCTTAATAATAAGGTGTCTACATGATTTAAGCTTGATTTAAAGGTTTAAATCAAGCAGGTGCTCTCTGCTCTCAGAGCAAGGGAGGTTGACTGAAGCTTGTCATTAAACTGGCACTGAGTAAATACAGATCACATGTTTGCAAGATTGTCACTTGAACAAGAGTCAACATGGGGGAGGGAGATTTCACATTCACAAAAGGATTAGTGAAAGAGTTAATCAACTGTCGGAAACTGAAAGAAAGAAAATACAGAAAAAAGTATGTGATATAAGAAAAATGATTAACAGAACATTCTTTAAATGCAGCATATATCTGTATGCTATATATTCAGAATACTCTACTGTACAGACAGTGATGACTAACAATTCAATAGCTGTGGTGGGGGATAGGGGCTACAGTGGGTATTAGGGTCTGTAGTGGAGATTAGAACTGCAGTGGGGAATTATGGGACTGAGTGGAAAGTACTAAAGAAACTGGGGCACAATGTTTCCCCCAGTTAATTATTTTATTTTATGTGCAACCATGAGGGCATATGGGACCTGGGTTAGGTCCCCCTTTATTGTATGTCTGACTTGGCAGCTATTGGCAGCCATAGGCTGCTCAATGTTCTGGTTCTTTCCTATGGGTAAATTTTAACTCAGGAATTAAGGGGAGATCTACTAACACACTATGCATTAAAAGACCAGGACTATTTAAGACTATATGTATATTGCAGATTTAGGTGTTTAGCAACTTAATCTCCTCATTTACTTAGGCATGGCAGGTTTTTTATGATTTCCATTTTTTCTTCTATGCCTATCTAGTAAGTCTCACAATGAGAGAGGCTTTCTTTATGTTACTTTACTTTATCCGCCTGTCTACTTTTGATTATTATGGCTGCCTATCTTTTAGACAGTTACCTCTCTCCCTTTAGCACTTTTATCTGGTGTTTAGTTACTAAGGGGAGATTTACTAACACCCTGTGCATTAAAGGGCCAGGACTAATAAAGCCTATATGAATATTGCAGATTTAGGTGTTTAGTAACTTTATATCCTCACTTACTTAGGCATGGGAGTAGCCTTATAAGGCTAGTTCGGTATTTATTATTATTTGGAGTCACAATTTATTTCTGTGTTGATACTTTCTGTTACTTCAGATATTTAGTGGTCTCCCTCTGGTTATATTGTTCCATACCACTGGATGCTTTGGTGCCTACATCTATATCTCCAGTCAGCATTATATTCACAGTTTGTGAATTTTTGCTTCTTTGTTTCTGTAGAATTTAACCTCCGTTATTACTAGGTATTTCAACTATTAGTAAAGATGTCTGAAAGACCAAAATTATGAAAAAGAAGGACTTTATTAGTAGATAGCTCTCTAATTCCTATGTGGGATTGCCATAAGGATACCAAAAAGAGCTATCTACTAAACAGCTAATCTGGTACCCTTAAATATGGCAAACCCACAAGGGTACCAATTTAGGGAGTTATCTACTAAATGGCTGCGTCACAGATCGAAATTTCATTCATCTTAAAGGACCACTATAGGCACCCAGACCACTTCAGCTTAATGAAGTGGTCTGGGTGCCAGGTCCAGATAGGATTAACCCTTTTTTTTATAAACATAGCAGTTTCAGAGAAACTGCTATGTTTACACTGAGGGTTAATCCAGCCTCTAAAGCCTCTAGTGGCTGTCTCATTGACAGTCGCTAGAGGCGCTTGCGTGTTTCTCACTGTGAAAATCACAGTGAGAAGACACCAGCGTCCATAGAAAAGCATTATGAATGCTTTCCTATGAGACTGGCTGAATGCGCGCGGCTCCTGCCGCGCATGCGCATTCAGCAGATGACGTCGCTGGGAAGAAGGAGAGGTGGAGGAAAGCTCCCCGCTCGACGCTGGAGAAAGGTAAGTGTTTAACCCCTTCCTCTCCCCAGAGCCCAGCGGGAGGGGGACCCTGACGGTGGGGGTACCCTCAGGGCACTATAGTGGTCTTTTAATGAACAAAAGGATAAAACTGAATTAGGATGAAACTAATTTAAAAAAAAAAAAAATGTTTTTACGAAATGAACATTTTGAAGTCTAGTGCCAATGTAAACTAACTGCCTTCAGTCATATGGCCTCTGCCTCTTAATTGGTGAGTTAATTTCTTTGATATGTTAATGAACATTAGCCTTGTGTTCAAGTATCATATCCAAAAGAAACATTAATATGTATCCACAGAATAATAATTAAGCCTAATTTTTATTATATTTAGAATGGGACAAGCACCATCTTCTAAACAAGCCCAAACATGACTGGCATAACTTACCATAGGGGAAGGGATTGTGATGTCCGCTATATTGGGGTCACAAGTAAGAATTGTGACATATCTATGGAATGGAGAAATGGTAAAATTCATAGAGGCAATTATTATTTCTGTGGCAAGTACAAAAGAGGAGATAGAAGGAAAAGTTTCTATTTGGATTGATGTGGGTTTGGGACACAAGGGGGTGGTCACTTATTGTATCTATAAATACGCCTTAACTCCTCCTCTGAGAGAGGCTTGGTAATCTACAGGGTATCCAGTGATACTGAGATGTGTATTTGTACTTGCTTGGGGGCCAGAATCTAATTCTAAGTGAGTCACCACCTTTCTTACCATAGACCCCCGGGGGCAGAAGTTTTACTTTCAAAAACCTGAGTAAGTGATTAGGACTCCTGTTATTTTATCCCTTTTGTTTTTATCTGTTGTTGGTGTAAGTAATTTGGTTGTCATATATATATTTATATGCACTGTGGCTATTTCTTGCTCATAATAAATATTCCTTTATTAAGTTGTGCCTTTGTCTGGTAAAGAATTATGTTACCTGAAGAGACTAGTGTTTTGCAATTGCTTAAATATTGTGCCAAGTTATATTTGGTGGGTTTTTCTTATTAAGTTACCTGGGGGACCAAGGCACCCCATTTATAAATTGTCTTGGTGGTGGCAGCGTTAAAATAGTATTATTTATATTATTATGCTTAAGTGTGTTAAGGGGGATTTTATCGTTATTTCTGGTCTAGTGCAGACAAATAGTGAACTCTAACCCTTTCACCACCACAACTATGTCATGCACACTCTTGAAGTAGGGTGCTTTCATGGCAATGATTACAATACAATAATTAGAAAGCAATTAATAAGTAAAACATCCAACTAATTGCAATACATAATAAGTGGATTGTAAAATGAATTAACATTTACCTTAACCTTTAACATAGTACCCTGACCCCCAGAGAGCGCTATTGCTGTTTTCTATTTTTTCTGAGTTTTATGGTCCCCATTCTGCTGTGATATCTGATGATTATATACAACAGATAAACTATGTGTTGAAGAAACTGGACCTGTTAAAGGAACATTGTAGGCACCCAGACCTCTTCAGCTCATTGAAGTGGTCTGGGTGCTGTGTCCCTTTTGCACTTAGTGCTGCAATGTAAAACATTTCAGTTCCAGAGAAGTCTGCATGAGAAGCTCTGCATGAGGACCTCCAGCGTCAGATTTTTCCCTACAGGAAAGCATTATAGGCAGAGGGGAGGGCACTGTAGGGACCTATAGTGCCAGGAAAACAGCTTTATTTTCCTAGCACTATAGAATCCCTTTAATTAAAATGCTTCCTGTGTCTTTCATGCTTGATTCAGTGTTAATAGTTCTATTACCAGGTATCGGTTATAATAATGCATGCATCCACAACATTCTAGTATGTATTATTTGAGGTATTAACTGAGTATTGACTAATACCACCTCTGTGGTAGTTTGGGAGTTATTGAACCAGGTGAAGAAAATACTTTAGTGAATCAAGCTTTAAAAATAAATAGTAAAGATTAAAGTAAAAAATTTTTAAAAAAATTAAATTTTTAACCACTTAAAGAAATATATAAATAAATAGTGTAGTTTTTTTTATCAGTGTTAAAAATGGTATGGATGCTTGTTTGGAAAAACATAATATTAAAAAAAGCTATTATTAATGTGCGTGGAAACAGCTTGTTGATCCAAGAAAACATCTGATTATGAAATGAAGAATTTTGCCCCCCCCCTTTTGGTTGCACAAATGGCAGTTGTATCAAATAG